CCATAGTGATAAGTCAACAGCTTTCTTGCCTCATGATAGCCTTGATAAGGACTCATGTGTTGACAACTTCTTACCAAGTCTCTGGGCTCACCTCTGGTAAACTGTTCAAGGTAGTATAACCTATCACTGTCACTATCTGTTTTGTCATGAATTGTATGGTCAAAAGCTCTTATGAACGATTTAAACTCAAGTGGATCGCCACTGAAAACAGGAATGTCTCTTTGGGGCAAATGTGACAGTCTCTGTTGTTTGACTAACATCTCAGTGATGTTATTTTGTTTAAGCATCACTTCACACAGATCTACTGGGTCATCATTGATGCCATTCTCCTGTGTCTGGTTTTCTTGTTTCATTTGATGATCAGTTACCTTTAACCATTCTGAATGTCCAAGCTTTGTTTCTGGAAGCTGGTTCCTTTGCGGCTGATTCACTGAAAGTCGTACTTCAGGATCAGCAACTGCACCACTCTTACAACTTTCATATTCATAGTTTTCCAACACTTTTATTTTGGCTGTAGAAGCAGCAATAGCTGTGTCAATCTCAAGTTGTTCCCTTTTTGCCTTCAATTTGCATTCTTCAAAGTCTAAGACTTGTCTCTGTTTCAAGGATGCTGCACGTGCAAGTAAAGCGGCACGTTCTGCTTGTTCCTTCCGACGTACAGATGATATGGATGAAGCTCTGGATGATCTTGATGAACTGCTTGTGGCTGTGCTTCGTACAACACATGACCCAAATGTCGTTTTTAAGGGTGCATCAGCAACAGACACACTATCATCTGGATTCACGTCATCTTGGTGTTGTTGTCTTATATTAGATGTCCATCCCTCAACCTCAAGCATGAATTTATTAACTTGCTCAATTTTTGGCTTGAACCAAAATGTTTGATCAGCCTCGTTATCTTCTTCGGGTAGCAGCAACAGTACATTATCATTTGTATGAATAAACTCATTCTGTAGTTTTGAGCATTCATTCAAGAGATCATCAACAATGTCTGGACTCTCATTATCTTTCATAAGTCCATTAATCTTATTTGTTTTTGCTGTTAGCTGTGAGAGCTTAGATCGTCTTGCATTAATGTACCTGTTCAGGCACTCTTCCAAACCCTTTTCTGTGTACTTTGGCGCCCTCTTCTGGTCAGCCCTGCTACTGCAGCTCTGTGCGCCAGGTCCGGGATCCTGCGCGTCGTCGTCCGCCATGATGCCTCTTTTACACAACTTCTAGTTCAACAAGTGTTCATGAACGATGGTCTATGACACAAAGCACGGCCTGCTTTCATAATGAGTGTCATCGTAGTAAGACCAAACATCCTTGTTGTCTTATTTTCTCGAGAAGCTGAGTATCTTACATTTATTCTTGTGCCGTCTTGTACAATTCTTGCGTCGTCATGGCGTCCGACGTCAAGTTTGTGAGCTGGTAGTTTTACTTAATGTAGTGGTTTCTTCGGTCTTCTTAGTAAATCTTATGTTCTTAAACTTAGTTCTTTCTTAACCACTCTATAGTGACGACATTACACTGTTTTACGCGTTGAGTTGGCTTCACACATGTTCCCATGTGTCCACGGTAAAACTACCGTGTTGCTCCGCCGTCGCTCGTTTATTTTACTTAGACAGCGTAACACATAACAATACACTTCACTTCCTGTCTCCTGACCACATGACTACGGAAGTCTTACAGAATCACAACAAACCTTCAAAATAAAACAGGAATAATCTCAGTAAATATTCCCAAAATAAACACAAACATATCATCTGCTATGCTCTAGCAAATCATAATCCAAACAATAATAATCAAACTTATTAATGCAAAAATGGCACTTGCACTTATATTTATAGCATTTATTTATATTTATAGCATCCCATTAATCCAGCCATCCATATATACCTAATAATTCACTTTTTTTTAGTCTACATCTGTAAATTTTGTAATTACTGTACATAGCACAGACTCTTGCACTTTCTGCTTATTTGCACTTCTGGTGAGATGCCAAACCTCATTTCGTTACTCTATACTTGTATATGTGTAATGACAATAAAGTTGAATCTCAATGTCATCTCATCTCAAGTCCAGAAGGTTGACTTCTCCCACTTGATCTTTGTGTTGATCTGTTTTTTACTTTCATTTTCTTGGATCAGTTTTAAGCTGATAGGAAAGCTTCCCCAGAGTTTAATTGGACCTGGGGTCACATCGGGACAAATCTTTCTGAGCTGAGGTGAATCTTTTTTTAAGAAACGTTTAGCCACTGATCAGATCAGATACTTATTTGTAGCGTGTTGTAAAATGTATATTGCTTTATAGCATTCATGTGTTGTTATATTATGACATAATGTCTTCACATCTGTAGTGTTATGTGGTTTTGAGTTACAATGGATGCCTTAAGTCTGAAATCTTCTGCAGTCCATTCATCCACTACGCTGAGCTAACAGCTAACTGTAAAGGGTGGGATCTGTCTATCTGTCTTCCTGTCTGTCATATGTAACTCAATAACATTTGACTCGATCCACTGCATCCTTAGCAAGCCTTTTGCTGTGGACCTCAGGAAGTGTAGTTTTAAATGTAGTACCATTTGGGCAGATGGTTACATGTCCAGGTGAGGAAGAAACCAATGTGGGCTTATCTCAAAACCTCATCTTAAAACATAAACAAATTATTTAAAAAACATAAAAAATACAAACTTAATATTACAAATCAAATACATATTAGCCTACTATTTAGTCAATTCACCTTTTTCATCCATTGCCAGAGCACTTTATAGGTAATTCTATAGGCTACTTTTTTATAAGAACAGTAAGTGAATCTCGTTTAACAAGCCTTCAGTCTAATCTCTGAAAAGTCTTTACCAAGTCTTTGGAAATAGTCACATAGCTCCTTATGGAAAACGTTGAAAGTAGGCTCTTTAGATATTTACTCTTGTGAATAAAACTTTCCCAAGCAGTATTCTAGCCTACATAAATGGCCAAATCATACTTTGGTCTTCCTCAAAATCACTAAAAATTATCCTATCTAGCTTAGTAACCATGGATTCAAATACACCAAAATACAGCGGCACATTCGATCCGCGTCCTGCCAGTAAGACGTAGGGGACCCCCAAAGGGCCCCACTGTCAGGACAGGCTCCAATAAGAGTGTTTGAGCTCCCCACTCTCCTCTTTAGGAGCTGGATCTCTATCTTTCTCTCCCTCTCTCTCTCTATCACTCTTTCTTTTCCTCTCAAATCAATAAGCTCTGACTCATAGTGCAGTTTATTAACTGCTACACAAAATAAGTTTCATTTAGCTGGTTCATGAAATTCAGCATTTAACTTCAATTATTTTCTTTTACTTACTTATGCTTCTTTTTTTTTCTTTTTTAAAGAAGGCTTTTTGTGCCTTTGATGGAGAGATAGGACAGTGGATAGAGTTGGAAATCAGGGAGAGAGAGAGAGCGGGGAATAATAATAATAATAATAATAATAATAACTTTATTTATATAGCACCTTTTAAAAACACAGGTTTACAAAGTGCTTTGACAAACAGCAAAAACAAGAACAAAGCAAACTAAACCAAACACAGAAAAACATTAACAACAGTAAGAATATAACAGATGCAAAATACCAAAAATAATTAAAAACAATTCAACAGAAAAGAACCCAAAGTGCACGATACACAACCAGACATATATAACCCAACCAGCATAAGAACCATCATAAGAACCCAGGAACACAAGAACCCAACAACATGAGCTGAGACCAAGAGGACCAAAGATTTAAAAAGATGTAAGAAACTAAGAGATAAAAGTAAATAAAAAGCAATGAGAAGGTAAGCGCAGTAAAAGAAATAAAAACAAGTGGTTAAAGGATCAAAAAAACCCAAAACTATAATATTAATAAAAATAAAAATTAACTATAAATACGAAACATAAATAGACAAAGTAAGTAAGATAAGAAATTACCAAGTTAAAACACAAGAGGAGATTAAGATATGAGCATAAATACGAGATAAGACCATAAATAAAAGACAGTAAGAAGTAGAAGAAGATAAAAATAGTAAAACCAGTAAGAGAAGACATTAAGAAGACGACATCACATAAAAGCAAGTCTGTAAAAGTATGTTTTAAGAAGGGATTTAAAAGAATTGAGGGAATCTGCAAGTCTTATCTCCTCAGGGAGGTCGTTCCAAAGTCGAGGGGCCCTGACTGAAAAGGCCCGGTCACATTTAGTTTTAAGTCTCGACTTTGGAACGACCAGGAGGCTCCCACCCGAGGATCTAAGACTGCGGGCTGGCTCATATGGTGTCAGTAACTCTGTTATATAGCTTGGAGCCAGCCCCGTCCGTGCTTTAAAAGTAATGAGTAAAATCTTAAAATTGATTCTAGAATGTACAGGAAGCCAGTGTAATGAAGCTAAAATTGGAGTGATGTGATGTCGTCTGTTACAACCAGTAAGAAGCCTAGCTGCTGCATTTTGGACCAGCTGGAGGCGAGACAGTGACTTATTTGTGATTCCGGAAAAGAGGGAGTTACAGTAGTCAAGTCGGGAGAAGATGAGGGCGTGGATGATCTTTTCAAGGTCTCGTTGGGTTAGGATTGTTTTCATTTTGGAGATGGTGCGTAGATGGAAGAAGCTTGATCGGACAACTGTTTTGATATGGGATTCAAAGGTGAGATTGCAATCGAATGTTACTCCTAGATTTCTGGCGGTGGGTTGGACATTGGTGAATAAGGGACCGAGGCTGCTCTTTGAGATATGAGTGGTGTTTGGCGGGTTGAATACTATGATTTCAGATTTAGAATTGTTCAGTTGGAGAAAGTTTTGCGCCATCCAGCAGTTGATATCGTTTAGGCAGTTTCTGACAGCAGCTAGGCTCCTAGGGTCCTCAGGTCTCAAAGGAAGGTATATCTGTGTGTCGTCTGCGTAGCAGTGAAAGGAGACATTGTGGCGTTCAATTATTTGGCCAAGAGGCTGTTCCGCCCTCATTAAAGAGTCCCCTTCCTCAACTAGGCAGACAGATAACTCCTTCCACATTCCGTAGTCAATAAATGTTGATTTATTTGTGTGCCACCGTTATTCATTGACAGAATGCAAAATGGAGTAAAACTGTAATAAAGTAAAAAGAAACAATCAGTTATGATACACGATCAATAAACATATCTGTGTAGTATAACATGCTTGTTAATGTCAATCAAATTAACAGTATGTGACTGAAAATATATCTGACCGAAAACTATCACCTAGCGAACAAGGTATACTGCAGAACACAAAAATCATGGTCTAACATAGCCATCTGCGTAAAATGAAAGCATGGTCGTGAAAAGAAACATCTTAATCACACTTTACTCACAGACAATGATTATACGATTCCTTCCTAGTCCAGGATGGATTTAGATCCTTCATAAGGCAAGTGTCCACAACATGCTCTTATCAATGAATGAGAAACCCAAAATGGCCTCCTACAGAGCGCCATGAGGTCCAAAAAACTCAACAACAAATGTAGCACTCCCTAGTGGCTGCAAGGTGACCTACAGCTCCTTACTTAGGCCAGAACACTCCCCGCCTGGTATCTAAAAAGATGCCACCACAACTGTACAATGCACACTAATACAAACCAACTACAATGTCTCTGGGGAGAGGAGTAGAACAGTCTCTGAGACAGGGCGTAGAAAGGTCTTGAATGAACCATCGTTTGCTGTCTTGATTTCGACCTTCCTCACCTTGCCATCTGCGCTGGGGAATGTCTTGACCACAATACCAAGGGGCCAATAGTTTCGTTTTACCTGCTTGTCTTTGAGTATTACAATGTCTCCAGCTTGAAGATTATGTATTTCCTTTTGCCATTTTCTCCGTTTTTGCAGAGAGGGTAGGTACTCTGTCCTCCAGCGATGCCAAAAGGTGTTGGCCAGACCTTGGACTTGCCTCCACTGCTTGCCATAGAGATTGTCGCCATCAAACTCTCCTTTTGGGGGAGGAAGTGCACTGATCTTTTGAGTCAGGAGTGTTGCCGGTGTCAGGATAAGTGGGTTGTCTGGATCAGTGGATACAGGGACCAAAGGGCGAGCATTCACTATAGCCGATACTTCTGCCATGAATGTAGTCAAGACTTCATGGGTAAGCTTTGACGGGCCAAGTTTTAACAGCATGGAGTCCAGGATGCGTCTTGTGAGCCCAATAAGACGCTCCCAACTGCCTCCCATATGTGATGAGTGTGGTGGATTGAAGACCCATTTACATCCGCTGTCGCTTAAATATCCCTGTGTTTCTTTGTTGGTGACTACTGTTTCTATCTGCAGCTCTTTGCAAGCACCAACAAAATTTCCTCCACAGTCAGATCGTATCTGCTTGGCTGGTCCTCTGATGGAGAAGAACCGTCGCAGAGCATTTATGAAGCTTGAGGAGTCCATAGACTCTATGACTTCAATATGTATGGCTCTTGTGCTCATACATGTAAAAAGCACTGCCCACCGTTTGTTGCTGGCCACTCCTCCTCTAGTCCGCCGTGCCACAACCATCCAAGGTCCAAAGACATCCAGACCAACAAAGGAGAAAGGTGGGTCGGTACTGAGTCGGTCAACAGGTAGAGCGGACATTTTCTGAGTCTCTACAGCCCCTCTAAGTCTTCTGCATGTAACGCAATGATGCAGAATGCTACTGACACGGCGTTTCCCTCCAATAATCCACAGACCAGCAGCTCTTAAGGCACCCTCAGTGATATGACGCCCTTGATGGTGGACCTGTTCATGATAGTGTTGGATTAATAAAGTTGTGATGTGGTTCTGTCCAGGGAGAATCAGAGGACAAATCTCATCTTCACAAAGGCGAGCATTGGAAAGGCGTCCGCCAATCCTGAGAAGGCCAGGACTGTCAATATAAGGACACAGGTTGTACAGTGGGCTTTGTTTACGAATATCCATTCCTTTCTTAACACATTCCAGTTCTTCTGTAAAAGCGATTTGTTGCAGACTACCAACGATGATGGTCTTCGCTTTGTCCAAATCTTCCTTTGGACAGGGCCCTTCATGAATGTGCCATCCTTTACAGTTGCTGTCTTTCTTGAAGGAACTGGCAACATGCTGAAGCCTTGCAATTGCACGAGTGAGTGATCGCCAGCTGGAGAATCTCTCAAAGCGCTTGATGTCCAGACCATCTGTGGCAGCCTCTGTGGTAAGACATGTAATCTGTGGGCGGATGTCAACATCAGAGCTAGGTTCAACCAAGTCAAAGGATGGAGGGGAAGTTTCCAGTTCAGTTCCTTTCAACAGGAATGCAGGTCCTGACAACCATGTTGTTTGTAGCAGAGTCCCTGCTGCAACCGCTCTTGAGCCATGATCAGCCGGGTTCTGGTTAGTTGGGACATATTTCCATTGCTCTGGACTGGTGGTTCTCCTTATGCGTTGTACTCTGTTATGTACATACACATAAAATCGTCTCGTCTCATTGTGGATGTAACCCAAAACCACTCTACTGTCAGAGTAGAATGTAATGGCATTGAATTTGACGTCCAGCTCATCCACCACTGCTTCTGCTATTTCTACTGCTAAAACAGCAGCACACAGCTCAAGCCTTGGGATGGTTAACTCAGGACGTGGAGCCAGTTTGGCCTTGCCAAACACAAAGCCAACCTCTGTCTTCCCCTTTGCATTGGTTGCTCGCAAGTAGGCTACGGCAGCGACTGCAGTTATGGAGGCATCACAGAAAACACATAGCTCTTTGCTTTGAGCTTGGCTTAGGGATATGGTGGTGTACTGCCGAGGGATTTTTATCTGTTCGATCTCCTTCAGAGAGTCCCTCCACAGTTTCCAGTCTTGAAATTTATCTTCTGAAAGAGGGGTGTCCCAGTCACATGGTTCTGTAGTCAGCTCCCTCAGTAGAAACCTTCCCTGAATACTGACAGGAGAAGCAAATCCCAGCGGATCGAACAAACTGTTGATGGTCGACAGAACCCCACGTTTTGTGTAGGGCTTCTCTTCCGTCGACACTTGAAAGGTAAACACATCTCCTGCAACATCCCAGCTAACTCCGAGACTTCTTTGCATAGGAGGTGGGTCTGTATTGAGATCAAGGTCTTTCAGCCCCTTCGCCAGATCTTCTTGAGGAAAAGCCTTCATCACATCTACCCTGTTGGAAGATATTTTATGAAGACGAAGATTGGAGAGAGCCAACATTTCTTGAGTGTCTCGAAGAAGGGTGATGGCTTCTTGCTCACTGGGAAGGGACACCAGTCCGTCATCCACATAAAAGTTCCGTTCGACGAACTGTCTTGCCCGTGCTCCGTATTCTCTCTCTCTCTCTATGGCAGCTCTTCTGAGCCCGTACGTGGCAACTGATGGAGATGGGCTGTTACCGAAGATGTGAACCCGCATTCTGTACTCCACTACTTCACCATCCAGGTCGTTGTTGCGGTACCAGAGGAAGCGAAGAAAGTTGCGATGATCCTGACAAACCACAAAGCAATGAAACATCTGCTCTATGTCAGTCGTGACGGCGACCTGCTCCTTCCTGAATCGCAGTAATACCCCAAGCAGACTGTTGTTCATGTTAGGGCCAGTGAGGAGGACATCATTAAGGGACATGCCACAATGTTGGGCACTGGAGTCAAATACCACCCTTATTTGACCAGGTTTCTGTGGATGGTATATTCCAAAGTGAGGTAGGTACCAGCACTCTTCTTCTGGTTGTAAGGGTGGAGCAACTTCTGCATGTCCATTCTTAAAGATCTTATTCATGAATTGAATGTAATGTTCCTTCCTCTCTGTATGTTTCCTCAATGTGCGGGTCAGTGAAGTGAGGCGATTCCTTGCCTGTTCGAGATTGTTAGGAAGGCGTTGTCGTGGACTCCGAAAAGGAAGTGGAGCGACCCAGCTATTGGATTCATCCTGATGGCATTCACTATCCATAATTCTCAGAAAGGCAAGATCCTCCATAGAAGGCGCAGTCTTGTCATCATCCTTTGTGGAGCAGAATACAGACTCTCCCACAAGACCCATTAAGTCTGTCAGAGGGGCCCCATTTTCTTCCTGGGTGATAAAGGAATTCTGAGACTGGTGGTTGTGACTGAAGCCCTCCTTGACTCTGATTTTGTTTGGGCAAGGACTCATCAGGCTTGGGCGTCCATTCTCAAGAATGTTTGTTCTGAAGGTGTTCACAGATGAAGGTTTGTGCGCACCATCAAGGCAGACCTCTCCTACTATCACCCAACCGAGAGCTAACCGTTGTGCAAAGGGAGCTAAGAGAGGCCCATTTCGTTGTTCGTGAACCTTGTGCACCTGAATTATATCCCTTCCTAAGAGAAGCAAAATATTGGCCTTGGGGTCAAGAGGGGGTATCTCAGTAGCTAGGGACTTCAGGTGAGAATGGTACCTAGCAGCTCCTGGAGTGGGGATTTCAGCCCTATTATCAGGTAGCTGGTCACACTCGATGAGTGTGGGGAGGGTAAGACTGGTCCTTTCATCTGCAGATTCTACAATGAAACCCCTTGCTCTCCGGCCTGCAGTCTCTGACACACCTGCACACGTTCTGAGTGTGTAAGGGGAGGTGTCATCAACTATGTCAAACATCTTAAAAAAGGCTGATCTGGCCAAAGACCTGTTGCTTTGGTCGTCTAGAATGGCATATACCTTGGTTTTCCTCTCTGGCTGACCCTTTGGGTATACGTAACTAGGCAGATTTTGGAACAAGACTTCCCTATTGTGCTGCCTCCACAGACCTCTGTGCAGGTTGACGTAGTGATTAGAGAAGAATGAGCTTCCTCTGCCTCCCCGCCATGCTGTTCAGAGGGGTTAAGCTGTGGTTTAGTTGACCAGGGTGCTGGGCCGGCGTGAAGAGCTGCAATGTGCTTCTCACTGCTGCACTCAGAACACTGTATAACTGCTTTGCAGTCCCTTGCTTGGTGCGAAATTGAGGAACAGCAACGAAAACATATCCCGTTTTCTCTAAGGAAGGTTTTTCGTTCCTCCAGGGGCTTCGCTCTGAAGACTCTGCACCTCTGCAGGGGGTGGGGCTTCTTATGAATAGGACATTCCTTCTTAAGGTTGTCTAATCCGTTGGCTTCAACTTTCTCTTGAGTATTCTCCACTTCTGTTCTGTGTACAACTACAGGTGTTCTTAAAGATTTCAGAGGGAATCTCTCTCCCTGGAATCTCTCTCCCTTATGTGGCGGGATGCTTGAGTTTGCGGTGACGAAACTTGGGTCGTTCCTCATCCTCGCCTCTTCACGAATGAAGCTAGAGAAGACAGAAAACGGTGGGAAGGTTATGTGGTTTTGTTGTTTGTACCTTGTCCCATGTACCATCCATTTTTCCTGAAGGCTGAATGGTAGTTTCTCCACGATAGGGTGAATGCCACGTGCTGTATCTAGGTAGGACAGTGCTGGTAAGTAACCCTCCTCTTTGGCTGCTTCCACTTCAAGGAGCAGGTCACCTAACTCTCTCAGGCGTTGTGAGTCTCTTTGAGAGACCTTGGGAAAATATTCAAGCTTGTTAAAGAGAGCAGTCTCCATTGCCTCCGCAGATCCATAACACTCCTCTAACCTCTCCCAGACCATACTAAGGGCTGCAGCAGGGTGTCTGATGTGAACTGACCTCACCCTCCTCACATGTTCAGCAGACTCCGGTCCAAGCCACTTAACAAGCAGGTCTAGTTCTTCACTTGGTTTCAAGTCCAGATCTTCTATTGCATTGGCGAATGTGGACTTCCATACCCAATAATTCTCCGGTCTATCATTGAATTTAGTGAGTCCGGCTGTAAGAAGGTCACGGCGAGCTAAAAACTTAGCTAGATCTGTCACATTGGAACGTGGCTCAGCAGGCTCATTAGCTGCTCCTGTGCGTAGCTGGTCGTTATCTTCTGTATTGTCTCTGGGTGGCCATGAGCTTTTAACCACTAATCCAGCCAATGGCGTGCTCCCTTCACCTTCCCTTTTAGGCTCGAAACTAACTTGTGGACATCTGTTAGTAGAGGTTGCTTTGATAAGAGATGGGGTGTATAGAGATGAGTGCTGCCCCACATGTTGGTTATACATAGGTATGTGATGTGAGGGAAAGTCACGATGTTGCTTGTGATTAGCCTCTTCTGGGCGAGCCAAGTCAACTTCAGCATTAGAATGTGGACTGTATTGGGGTGCTAATAGCTGATTAGCGTTTATGAAGGCATGCTGGTGTTCAACGTACTTTTCAGTCCTCTCAGCTGATCGATATGAAAGACCTTTATCAGTGTGATGAATTTGAGACAGCTCCTCTATTTCTGGCATTTCCACAGCAGCTTCGAATATTGTAGCTTCAGCGAAAGCTGCCTCTGCCTCTTTCTCCTGCTGGATTGCTTCCAGTGTTGCTTCAAGGCGTGTCTCCTCTACCTTTAGTTGAGCCCTTTTTACTTTCATTTCAATTTCCCTTTGTGCGTAGGATGCTCTGGTACGTGCTGCTTCAGCTTTGGCCCGTGCTCTTACCGCAGCCAAGCTTGTTGCAGACTTACCGGAGTGTTTTGATGAGCCTGAGCAGACAGATCTGGTCTCGTGGCCTCCCCTTTCTGCAGCTGACATCTTGTCTTTCAAAGATCTAGGGGTTGAGCC